TTTAGGCAACAAAATTTGTGCTTACAACCTTTAACAGCAAAAGACATCAGTTTAATTTTTGGAATCCCGAATGATAGCCCCTTATCAATAGCTTTCAGCTGCATAGAAATGGTATGCCACCTTTAACAGCAAAAGACATCAGTTTAATTTTTGGAATCTCGAATGATAGCCCCTTATCAATTGAAGATGCTGATAGTAGTGAAGGTGGAGATTCTGAACTAAGTCACCGAACATACAAATGGAAAGAGCGCTGCCAACGGAGTTAGTATCCCACTGCTCATGGATACTAACTCCTTTGGCAGCTCTTTCCATTTGTATGTTCGGCGACTTGATCCAGAATCTCTACCCTCACTGCTATCAGCATCTTCAACTGGTAAGAGGCTATTATTCGGGAGCATGGATACTAACTCCTTTGGCAGTTCTTTCCATTTGTATGTTCGGCGACTTGATCCAGAATCTCTACTCTCATTGCTATCAGCATCTTCAACCGGTAAGAGCCTATCATTCGGGATTGCAAGGATTAAACTGATGTCTTTTGCTATTAAAAATAGCATATCATCTCTATATAACTGAAAGCTACTTAGTGTTGGATTAAAATTGTCAACCAGCCAGGTTCCTATGCCATTCAGAATAGAGCGACACTTTATTTCCAGCAGCCCTCCAAACCCCATATCTCTGATCTGTTGTTTTTTTATTTCATCGATGTTTGATGCTAACCAAAACATCTGATTTGGTGAACAATGAATGGTATACTTCTCATTCTATAATCAAGTTCAACGAAAAAAACTAGTTAGCCATACACTATAAATATCACAAAACAACTCATTTTAGCAGCCATGCTTCGTGTTTACCTTCATCCGCTTTTTTGGTAGTATAGCCTTTCCAAGTCGCGCCATTTCTCTCTTGTACTTCTCTTTCTCTTTCCAATAGTTCCCTTTTCGCTTCTGTACATCTTTCTCGCTCAGCTTATCATATGCTGCTTTGGTCATTTTATTATACTGTATTGAATGCATATAATCGCGAATCATGTTATATGCAACTCAGTATTTTCTAATTGTGTTTTTTATTTTTATTGGGTTACTATTTTATTGATTAATGATTTATTTAACTTTTCATGCATACCTCTGTTATCTTAACGCCTTTCACTGGGACGGTGTTTTAATACTCCTTCCTACACATGTTAAACATAAACCCATTAACTGTGCGTTTTAGTCATGATTATTATTTTTAATTAACATCAACATTACCTGAACTTCATCCACGGATTCAACAGTGGAACTGGTTGTCTGATTTCATTTGTTCCTGCTGCCTTTATTTCTTCATTTTCACCTAAACTCTTGTTCCGTCTTCCGATTCTTATCCGTGCCATCTTGTCTTTGCTCATTAACATTGTAATCAAATTTATGTATGTCACCTCCTATTGGCCATGCTTAGACAAAGATACTGCCCATTTACTTGTTCAATGCCTTTGATGGTGTCTAATTTTCCCTTTCACAGCATATTCCCCCTTCTTCTTCTCTGCTCATTTTCTTAGGTGATTTTCTTGATCTCTTTTGTGCCATCTACAATCATTAGTTACAAAAATTTATTACAAATTTTCTGCTTCTCAATTTTTAAGATTTTACCTCCATAATACAGTACAAAGTACAGTAACACATGATATACTACTTCCAAATCTAAGTAACACATTCTGTACAACGACTAACTAAGAGAAGGGACCGATATTTTGTTCTATCTTTCAACAAGCAGATGGATAACTTTTTATTCTAACTAACATTTTTCAATTGCATTCTACTCTCCTACCTCTTAGTTTTGATAAAATAAACGACATCTTTATGCAACTAATACAATAAATATACACGAATGTAGAAGTCTCAATGAATATAATGTTGGATAAGTATACATCAATGAAGTCTCAAATACGACACACAAATTTCACACTAACATTTCTACTTTGTTTCTTCTCTGTATCTGTTAATCCACAACATGCAAGACTTATCCAACATTGTATTCATGCACATGAACTAATACAACACACATACACCAATGAAATCTCAAATATAACATACCAATTTCACACTAACATTTCTATTCTATTTCTGTTATGTACCTAGTCATCCACTACATGTAAGACCTATCCAACATTGTTTTGTAGCCCATAAACTAACGAAACTTGTAACATTTTTTGCACGCTAAGTATGACACACACAACAGTCTGTTATTCTGCCTAACGTATTTATATTATTGCCAACTCTCCTATCTTCAAATTCCATGCAATCCATTTCATCTTTTATGATCCTATTTTTTAAATGGGACTCGGGTCACATACAGGAGGTAGCACTTTCACAATACAATATAATATGTCCTTTGCCCATAGCTTTTGTTATTTTCTAGTCTTTTTTCTTATACTATGTATTACATATACCATGTTTCGACTTTGTTATGTTAATGTTTTACACCTTAACACACCGTAACATTTTTTCTCCATGTCACTTTTTATTCACATAAGATAATACTCATCCAACGTGCTGTGTGAACCGTCCTTCACTGAATGATCTTCTGATTATTTGGTTTCGCAGTGTATGATACCCTCAACACGTCGTATGATCTACTTAGCACATAGTAATTACAACCTACACCCATTTTTTCCACCTACCATGCACACATTTTCTCAAGCAGTTGTGTCGCAAGATTTCCCACTCTCCTGTTTCGACACTCAAAGACTAACACATAATACTCCTTTGACGCTGCACTTATCAATTACTATACACAAAATCGTGTTCACGTAACATCCCTCTATGCAATCATCATAGTGTATACCAAAAACATCCACAAGTAAAGTCCTTCCACTTTTTTGTCAAACTACGCACATTACTATATCACCTAAGACTTTCTCATGTTTTACCTGACTGCTTTGTGCTCGATCACTACTCCGGATCCCACGATCTTCTACTTTGTAACTTGGGTTCACCTTTCTTGTTCTTTTAATAAACCCTAATCACAAAAAATTTGTTCTTCTGCCACCACTTCTTGCTTCTCCTTGCTGTGATTTTCCTTCAATAATGCCGCAGTTCCACATCTTTTCGCAATGTCGCACGTATGTTGCCAATCTCCTATTTTTCTCTGTTATTTTCTCCTCTCGTATCTTGCCCTATTTTTTGGCAGATGTGAATTTCGGCAACTGTTTCGTTTTAGAGGGAGTGTAATTGGGTCTTTTCATTTTCAATGATTCATTTTGCACTGGACTTTGCTAATTCTCGATGCTCACGTTTCGTAACGAGTCTGTTACGGTCAGCACTTCTTCTAATTTTTTTTTTTTTTTTTTACTTTCTCACTAAATCAAACAGCGTCGTTTTTTTGTCCCTGCTGCAAGCTTCCTGACGTGGATCATTTCTCACATTTCGTTGCCACTTGTGAGGAGACCACTCAAGGACGGTCCATCTGATGACCGTTCCTGCCCCTAATCCTTACTGTTGTGCTTTAGTCTACTTTCAATAGTCATTTGTCACATTAGCTGAATATTATCAAATCAAAAGTTTGTTTTTCTTTTAAGCTCCACCTGTTGCTAGTGGAATAAATGTTAACATACGAAGTTGTTGACAGATGGAAGTTTCGCTGAAGCTTATGTGGTTCCCTATCTCCATGGTCTAATGAATGATTGAGTAATGTCTCAATCTTACTTTCTTTGAGAAGCTACTTTACATATATGCAATTTTTACCATTTGTAACTCAATATTTTTAAATTCGGACCGGAGAGTGAACTGAAAATTTTTTTGATTTGCAGTTTGATCGATTCAACTAGTTCAAAGGTTTAATAATTTTTTATTTATTTTAGTATTAAAAATTTTGAATAAAACTAAAATATTTATTTTAAAAAATAAAAACTTAATAAAAACAGGTTGAACCACCTAGTTTTTATCATTTTTTTACTGATTCAACTAGTTCTTGACCGAGATTGATCTGTTCAATTAATTTTTTTGATTTTTTATTGAATCGGGTTGGAGGCATGGTCGGTTCACGGTTTAATTGGTTGAACTGGCCAATCCTGTTCGATTTTCAAAACATTGAGATGTAACTTCCTCGTAGAGCCATTACAAAACTGTGGGAAAGCATGTTACATCTCCTCATGGATACAGAGAAGGGCTCTCAATGGTCTGAACTTTACACAGCACCATAGCAGTGCTTTGATCTAGCTTGCTGCTGCAAAGAGCAATCAAGCAGACAATACACGGGCAAATAACTCAACTTTTTCCTTCGTTCAACTTATTTGTCTTCCCTTCCAAGGTAAGAGCACAATTCCCATCATACTGAGATCCAGTTCAAATATAAGTCAAATCCAGGTCGTGAACATTACTTCAGCAATCATCGAGAAGTAGTTTACCCTGCAATGATCGATAGGCTGTTTCATAACGCGAAGTGTTTGTCACCTCAATTACATCAACATATTCACCTGCAAACTGTGAACACCTCCTCCTCGTAACCCTCTCCCAGCACTAAAGATGTATAGAAGTAGAGATCATTAGCATTTCCTACTTTCCCTGAATACAAGGTAGCATACATAATAATGACTTCCAATATGCTGGTGATCAGTACCATGTCTAAAAAGAAACAAGAGCCAAATTCCGCCTAAACCACTGTACAAAACCATCTCCACAAGTGGATAGAATCAAACAGTCCAGTCCACGCACTTAAAGCTTGACGACATGCATTTCTATGTAAAGATTGAGGAGATTGTGTCCATTGCAGACTATGAGACGGGATGGAAAATGATGCTGATACTGATTTTAATAACTATAGAAAAGAAACAAAGGAACTAAGGAAAAAGGTTCTAACTCCATCTTTTTTGCTTTTCTATGCTTTGTATTTCCAAAGAAGGCTATTACCTGTATCAAAATTGTAAAGATGAAACATATATTTTTCCCACATGGAGCTTTATTCACAGTTGGACTTTGGATCACAATTAACATCATAAGCAAAATTTGCTTCCATTCAATTGTTCGTCATGATTCCAGGAAAGTTGAAAATCGAGAGCGGTGTGGGGATTTTAGAGGAAGTGGTCTACAAGATCCACGTGGTGATCGATTAACAGGTGACCAATTTGGAGGTGAAAGGTGAAGTGCAGGCGGCGGAGATCTGGATATTGAACTTGACTGCATTTGTTGCATTGAATCTGACGAAGTGGGTAACTTCTGAAACTTTGGTGATTGGAGGTGTTCCAAATACTCTAAGACTTCTGCCATAGGCGGCCGATATTTGTGCTCCGGATTCACACAATATAATGCAATAGTAGCAGCAACATAAGCTCCTTTCCTGGGATACTGACCCTCTAACCTGCTGTCCATGATCCTGGCTATTGTACGTTTGTCACGCAGGTGAGGCCTTACCCATTTAACCAAATTCTGCTCCTCTTTAGCTCTTCTATAATCAACAGCAATTCGACCAGTAAGCAGCTCAAAAAGTACCACTCCAAAGCTGTAAACATCACATTTGACATTCAATCGGCCTGTTAAGGTAACAAAAAGAGAGTAACAACATGAGAATTCCTAACAAGGTGAACCAACTGAAGGATCAGAACCTTATTTTCTCAGCAAAAGTTGCATCTAGACAGGAGTAACTGGTACTATAAAGTGGAATTCAATTGACAGGATGGAGCAATCTGATGCAATAAACGACCATAGTGTATTACTTGCTTCTGTTATATCCTAAACCCATATGTGCACAGAATTTTAGCAAACTTTGTCAATACATTTAAAACTGGAAAGTAGAAGTTCATTGGGGCCAAACGGTCCAAGTGATATAATCAAATCAAAAGAAACATAAAATAATCCTGCGCAGTATGATTTTTATGGGCAACATGTATCAGCAAAGCCAAACTTGAGATAAGGCAACAGTCACAAAAAATGGACCAAAAGTATTATAGCTCTATGAAAATGATACATCATCAAAGTGGTGAAACCAAAAATTCAATATCACAAGAAGTTAATGTTCGCTTAGAGGCCTGCTCGCTTGATACACAGTAATCAATCAGCTGAGCACAAAGACAGCAACTTTTCAAGTTTCAAGCTCAAAATTCTTTTGCCACATCTTGGGTAAATTTACAGGCGTTCCTTGTGAAGCAGGACACAAAAAATATATATGTAATCAGAAGGGTAGAAGATTAACCTGTTCTAAGATATTCTGGAGCAGCATAACCTTCAGTTCCCATGACTCTCGTAGTAACATGCGTCTGATCTCCTGTTGGACCATGTTTTGCCAAGCCAAAATCTGAAAGCTTTGCATTAAATTCCTGTATAGATGGATAGGAGCTGTGACTAGTTTGTCAAACACTATCAGCTTAACTGCCGGTGAATAAAAAATATACTTGATCGAAGATTTAAGGTCCTACAAATGTAAAGCTGTTAGAGGGTCTTGATTTAAGTCTCAACTATATCAGTCCCAACCATTTGAGGTCATCCAGATAGTCCTGTTTCTGTCTATCTCATCTTAGGCATATTTTGACCAGCCTGTTCTTTTAGCGTTATTTTTGAGGGGTAAGACATTGTTATCCAGGTAAGTGGACAGATGCAACAGGAAATTGTAAAAAATACTGAAAAGACTTTGCTCTAGTAAATACAGCTCATGTTTAATCAAAATCTTTGGCTGATTTCCTGAAATGAAACATATATGCACCCAAAAGAAGGAAAGTAAAACCTAGCATACCGAATCTAATAGAATATTAGAAGCTTTGAAATCACGATATATGATTGGCGGTTCAGAATTATGCAAAAAATAGAGGCCCCGAGCAGCACCTACAGCAATCTTCACCCTTGTTTCCCACGAGAGAGGTTGTCTGCACCCTGCAAATCAAGATGATTTTTTAGCTGGACTGAAAATGAATGTACCATAGCAAACCCTGAAAAGATAAATATAGTTCTACATGTGCTTAGTGTTGCATACAATATGATAGTAGCCAAGCAAATTTTCTTGAAACTAAAATTCCTTACTTTTGAATAAATGATTTTCCAGGCTATGTTTGGGCATGTACTCATACACTAGTAGCCTGTTTTCGCCTTTCAAGCAGAACCCAATAAGCTTGACTAGATTAGCGTGATGAAGTCGGCCAAGATGATTTACTTCAGACTGCTCAACCAGACATCAGCGTGAGAAACAGAAACAGAAAAGAAACTTCATAGCTGAAGGAGAGAACTATGTGTTATCAGTCAAAAACTCAAAAGGAGAAATTTGTACAAGATACGTACCAACCACTCCTTGTGGCCTTGAAACCCCTGGGGTGTAAGCTTCTTTACTGCAACAGCCATGCCTAAACCAGGTGTTGCAGCATTAAGGGTATCTTCTGCGAGCCATCCTTTGTAAACACAACCGAAGCCACCTTCACCCACGAGATTTTCGGGACAGAAGTCTTGAGTGGCCTTACAAAGTTCAGTATACAAAAATGATTTTAGACCGGGAGATGCCAAAATTTGACTCTCAGTTGGCAGATTTGGTAAAACTACGCTTCTCTTCTTCTCTGTTGAAGTTTGAGGTGCTAGAGTTGGCGGATTTGGTAAAACTCCACTTCTCTTCTTATCTGTTGAAGTTTGCGCTGCTGGAGTTGGCATAGGTAAAGGATGACTACGTTGGTCAGGAAATGCAATACCTGAAGCAAGAAAAGACAAAAAAAAAAGGGTAAAGATGATAATTAAGCAGAAGAGATAAGATTACTATGCAAACATGGTAAAGATCGACTCCATGGTCCAATGGTTGATCCCAAAATTTCTAACTGAGCAATTCTTTGGCTTGATTCTTCATTATTATATGGTATACGATCTATGAGATCCGTATCAGGACAAAGTTCTTAAAAATTAAGCTGTAGCATATGCCAAAAGAGGGAAGGAAGCATAAGCAATTTGAAGAGTCAGTCCATAAAATGCTACTCAAAGTGTGAAACATTTACTCATAATTCTTCTTGAACTTCGCAAAATACAATTGCATACACATTACAACAAGTTTTTGAGGAAAAAGAGGAAAAGGAAGAAATGCATAACTTTAGTTGTCGTCAAGGGCAATGTAGTAGTTCCATGAATAAACTATTTTTCCACCAATACCAATCTTTCCACCACTTCTTCGTACATTGGTGGGAGGTGTACTAGCTAGCTAAAGTTATTTACCTAGTTTTCTGTTATGGTTTATTTCTCCTTGCTTGTGGCTACATAAGTAAGAACTGAAATCTAGGAAATGGCACTTATAAGACAACAATTTTCATCCAAGCCGCTCAGCTAAACTGGCATCGAGATGAAAGTATCTTTTAGAATTCACTTTGAATCTATTTAGTAACTCTTTGCCTCAAGATCTTGTTTCACTAATTAGAATCGGATAGTTTAAGTTTACCAATTTCATTGAAGAGTTGATAACTGCTAGGAATTCACTTGTACTCCTTGAATACGAAACGAAGAAAATGAAGACAGAGTTCATCAAGGTTCAAACCGATGGTGTCTTTAAGAAGGGTAAATTGCAAAAATCTCAAAGTTTTTCATCATGATACTGGTCCCTAAAGGAGTTTTATGATGATGCCTTAAGCTCTTCATAAACCTTAGATCGTCCTAGCAAAACCATATTGGCACACCAAAGAGGTGGTCATCCTGGTAATCCTTTCAAATTAATGCTGCTAATTAAGGACGTTTGCGTTAATTTTGAAACATACTCCAAATTTATATCACAATCTAACAAGAAGTCATCTCAAACAACTGCAGAAAACTCCATTTTTACCAGAATGTATCAATCTTATGTGTACTATTCGAAGCATATAATTGCCTAATTATACTCTTTATAGAAGAAATCAAACTCCTTCACTCTGCATTGAGAATTCTAAACAACTCTTGCTTGGAAGTGTTTTGAAAAAACAGTCCTATTTAAAGTCATTCAATAGAAGTTAAATTGATTCCTTGAAATAAACATCTCACACAAAAAAAAAAAAAAAGCTTGAAAGAAAGGAATCAATTTACGAATACAGATCAATAGCAAGAAAATTCCAAAAGTAAGCTTTAACAACTTGATCATCAATCATGGTACACAGAGACATAAAAACCAATGCTACATTGTTTGTGGCGTGCAAAAGCATACTGAGTAAAGCCTTCTTCAACATGGCCCAACCAAAGAAATACTGCCAAAAACCCAAGAAATTGCTTCATCTCCAACTTTAGAATTCAGATGAATTTCGATACGGGGAAAACGATGTAAACACTAGCCATACAATGAACATTTTAAGGGTTGATCGATGAAAATACACCTATTATCAACTTTCAATCCATAATTAAGAACCCAAATTCTCAGGTAGGAATTGATACAAAATAACGCCAGCCAGTAATTGCATGCATGCAATCATTAGGAAAAATTTAGAAACAAAAAATGAATTCAAATAAAATAAGTTACCTGGGGCAGAGAATCCTCTAGGGGGAAGGACAACGTTGTTGGGAGGTTGCATAAGTTTGGAATTAGAAGCGTAAGGATTCATAACATGTTCAACTTTCTTAAGTTTTGGCCTAACAAAGCAGTTGCCCATGTTGTCAAATACTCTTACAAAATTGATACAGATAAAAATGCATCAATTTCTTGATTTTGGCCATTGCTGCTTTTCTTCATCTTTTCAGTGTAAAATTATAGGATAAGAACATAGAAGATGAAGAAGAAGATGAAGAAGAGACTAGGCAAAATCTGAGAAATGGTGGCAGAGAATTTATAGGCTACGTTAAGAAGAATATAACAACATAGCCATAACTGTCGTGAGACGTGTTGAAATAACTGAATTTTGGGCTGTTCGATCAAGTAAAGGAAGCTCAATGGAATTCAAGATGTTATTTGTAACAAGTAGTTTTGTTGGTTGGTTAATTGGTCACATTTTGTCGATGCCGTCATCAGGTTGTGATTACCATTTTGCCCCTCCACGAGGTGGATGCATGCTGGAAATACTTGGCGAATTTTGGGTATCTTTTGGCATTCTTGGACTGTTATACCCTTTTTCCTTCCGAAGGGGAGATGTGAGCCATGGAGCATGCGAATTGGAGGGTATATTTGTCCAAAGACATTTTTAGATTATAGCTGAATTTGTTGTTGAATTTAGAGCTGTATACAAAACTCCTTTCAACGTTATTTATATCCTTTGAAATTTTTAAAAATCAGGAAATGTATCTTCGGAGGTGGAAATACTGAAAAAATAGATAGTGATAAAAAGATGGGATAATTATTATAGAATATGGGATAATTATTATAGAATAATTATAAATTTAAAAAATTAGTAGTTGAGAGTTCGGTGTTTATCATCTTCGTATTTTCCTTGTACTAATAATTGGCTAATTCTCATTATAATTAGCTAATAGGCACATAATCATTGGTTTGGTTCCACTCTTTTTGCTATGTGGGCTCGAGTATATTTAAGCTCCAAGACTTTGCTCCGTATTCTACGATTTTTTTTTTTTTTGGAGGAAAGTAATGTACATCTTCATCAATATTGTTACGCATTTATGTGCAAATTTTTAATGTTATTCACATAGAGAAAATCAATTTCAAAAATGGGCGAAGTACTTTTTTTTTTTTTGCAACTGAATTATCTACAATTTTTGAAATATATATATATTTTTTGGTATCAGAAGGACGCAAGAGTAATTGATCAGTTTACCTCATAATACAGATAAGTCGAGCTTTTTACCACTGGTCCAACTAAAGACGCGTTTACCAAACTACTTCAATATTATGCCACACGCACGGTATCATCATCTTGTGATGTGGGATCCTAAGGAAATGTAATTAATTTGGTGACACATTTTTTTTATGAGTTTTATTGAAATATAGCACTACAAATTCATTTATAGAAGTTTATTTTTATGGTAAAATATTATCTATGTAAGACAACCCTGTGAAATTTTTTTTAATATAATTTTACATCACTTCAAAAAATTAATTTCATACATTGCCGTTAAACGTGATTCTAAGACATCACCAGGTATTCTAATTATACAAGCTTAAAATATATGAACGTTATCTTAAAAATAATCTTCATTTCAATATCTAAAACATTTGTTCCAAGTCCACATTTTTTTTTTTTGCGGTATAATTTTTTGGGTTTTTCTAACCGGTGTTCTAGCCTAATAGTTACTTAATTAACTTACCATATATATATATATATATATATATATATAAACGAACAACTATTATCATCTTTTTCATTTATATATTTGTCCTATTTAATCTTGCACATCCTTCCTTATATTTATTTACTTTTTCTAATTAATTTTATATTTTCAAAAATATGACGCTTAAAATATATTTTAATGAATGTCCTATGGACACCCGTCAGACACCCTACTTTTATAGGTTGCTATTCATGGCTTTGCTAAAGATATGTTGACTTCGTATTGTTAGCTCCCTCTTAAAAAGTCACTTTCTTTTTTCCTACTTTCCTATGTGAAAAAAAAAATTGATTATATATTGATAGCAGTTTCCTTTGCTATTCCAAGTTTGTTCCTCGGAATGTTAATTACATCGAAAGACTTTATCAAGGTTCAAAGTAATTCCTGGAGTAAAGTGAAGTATCAAGTAAGGATTGGTATCTCCTGATTAAGATGAATTCAAGAAAGGAGTTCAACTGAACACCCTACAAATAAGTAGGGATAAAACGTTTGACCAATGATACCAAATGGGTTCACAATAACAAATCCACATTAATTGAATATCCTATACTTGGAAATGAATTTCGCAAATATATATTTGAAATCAATTCCTCTTAATTGCATTGCTCCAAGAATCTTATATAAAGATTTCAACAACTGGTTTTAGTAGAAGGGACTTTCAAATGAATATCCATTAACACATTTGGATTAAATTTCACTTAATCTACTATATAAATATATATACATATTAATTGACAAATCCAGATTAATTGAATGTCCTATATTTGGGAATGAATTTCACAATATATTTGGTATCAATTCCTTTTAAATGCATTGCTTGAAGAACCTTACATATAGATTTCAACAATTTTTATGTGTGCAAGGAACCTCTTTATTAGAAAGGCATAGTTGGCCATACTGCCAAAGCAATAATCTTCTTATCAGAGTAATTTTTATCCAAATATCAAAATATTACCCTTAATTGGTCAACTTCATATGTTCTCATTAATTTCGTTGGGGCTCATTATCCACTAAGTATTCTCTTTCTTCTCTCTAACTAATTGATTCTTCTTCTCGATCTTTCTAATTAATTGACTGGTTTGCCTTCTTCTTCTTCTTCTTCTTTAATTTGTTTACTTATTATTTCCATAACTCACTAATTTGGTTTTGAGTTTTTTACCATAGTTTTTTCTTATATTGTAATTTTTTTCTTTAAAGTGCTCTTATTTTTTCTTTTCAAAGTTGTACTTAAAAGTTATTTTTCACAAATACAACATGATTTAACACAAATAACTAACAATCTAAAGTGAAAATAATCAAAAAATTGTAGACACACTTTTCCTTCGGATATAGAAAGTAATGCAATTTTAAATTGCTTTAATCTAGTTATTAGAAAATATGGACATATGTTGAAGTCAAGATTTATATAATACAGTAAAAAGGGGAAAAGATTGTAAAGTGCGTAAGGAGATTAACTGTACATGGGCACAATAAACAAGAAAATTCAAAGAAATAAACCCTGTGAGGTATACCATAGGATTGAGTTCCAATGACATCACAATATTAATCACACAGTTTTCCCAGAGTTTTTAATAAAACATAAGAATTTAAAAAAATTAGACATCGAGGTTCTAATTTTATAATATGCAAAAAAAAAACAAAAACTCTTGGTATGGAGGATTTGATATGGCTTAATTACCCCCTTTTCTCTTGCCAACAAATATGATTTTGTTCACTAAAGTAGCCATTGCACCATGAAGGTTTAAGGTTCAACTAAAAATGATGAAACCCCCCAAGAACAGGTAAAGCACTTATAATAAAAAGCACTTAGAACCTTGAAGGAGATGGAAACAAATTGATAAAAATCTATAATAATGTACTGGTTGCAAAAAAAAAAAAAAATTTTTTTGAATCACATTCTGCAAAGTTCTCAAAAAAAATGAAAAGAAATTGTAAAATAAAAAAGATGCAAAGAGAAGGGAAGGAGTATTAGGAGGGGAAGTGAGAGAGAGAGCTAAAACTATCACTGGTTTAATGAGATAGAGGAAGATAAAAGGTAATTAGTGGATAATGAGTTCCATCAAAATTAATTGGAATATATGAGATTGACCAATTGAGGGTAATATTGGTATTTGGATAAAAATTGCTCTGGCAAGAAAATTATCGCTTTGCTAGAAAGGCATACTTGAATCTAGTCAACGAATTGAAGCTACCTTGAACGAACATTGCGGTATAGATGAATCAAGTTTTCCCACTTTGTGTTTGCATAGGATGAGAATATTTCCTTGGCAGAAATCGAATTAAGGAAAAAGGGTTTAGTTCCTAGTCAAAGATGTAGCTGTATATGTAGCTAACGGAAAGCGGTTGCTTTTCTTTCCACATTTTACTATTTTGGAAATATGTTTAGAGTTTAGACTTGTTACTCTACCAGTACATCATAGTAACTGCATTGCATCTTCTTGAAAGTATAACTTTGATGCACTTAAGTTATAAGGGTGTGTTTAATAAAACTGAAATCTGAAAACTGAAATTTGAAATTTGGAATCTGAAATCTGAAGTCTGAATATATTAAGTTATTGAATTGTTAAATATTAAATATAATATATTTAAGTGCATATTACATTCAGTGATAAGTAAATAATTTTTTACTTACTTTTGGGAATAAGTTTTACCTAAAAAATTCAGTGTCACTTAATTAATTCAAATTTCAATTTTTAGTTATCAAACCGTCTGAATATATTAAGATCTGAATCCCTTAAGTTTAAGTGCTGAATTGAATTATTAAACAGGGCCTTAATACAAGCACTTAAAATTGTAGTTTACTGATTGACCACATCAACTTAAAAAACTTCCTCTATAAGATCCATAATTACTATAGAACTAATTATATATAGCAATTTAAACAGCATAAACTTAGGCAGTGTTTGGTAAGTGGATTTCACACTGAGGAATTAGTTTGAAAGTTAATGATAGTGATACTTATAGTTTGGTTAAGGTCAATCGGAGTGAGTTAATATATATTGAGTCCACTCTATAGGTTTTGTTATTAACTATTTTTCAGTAATATTTAGTTATCCATGTATCTCATATTTTAATTAAAAATAAAAAATAAAAAGTACTAGAAGAAACAGAGAGTGGCTAAAAAATAGAAGAAAAAGAGTGAGGAAAAGGGGAAAAAAGAAGAAGAAGGAAAACCCATACCTGAACCATAGCAACAGTCCATTACTATTAACTAGTAAATTAAAATCACAGTGATTGTAGTTGGTGAATTTTCACCAAACGACTCCTTAGATTTAGCCAATTAGTGATAGCAGGGGAAAGTAGTCAATTGGTAGTATTGATGGCTAGAGATTTGTGGTCAATTATACGGAAGACCAAATAACAAATCAAGCAATAC